TGGAAAAGCTATACTCGTCATTTAATGTCAGGGATCCGGAGTCATTACAATGCAAAGTATTTGTCGACATTATGTTACATTTTGGCCGTCGTGGAAGAGAAAATATATGGGATCTAAAGAAAACCGACTTCGCTACAACGACAGACGCAGAAGGATGGAGGTATATTTATCTCAACAAAGATGAGTGGACCAAAAATCACCAGACAGACACCAACACTGCAGAGGGCAGAATGTATGAAATTAAAGGTATGTACCTGCTATTAAATACTTGTGTATATCCATGCATTATAAAAAAATCAAGATAACTTAAAAAGTTTTGAAACTATTTTAAAATTCTAGTCTAGTCCCAAACCCAAATCTCTAACTGTACTCATGTTATTTTTATTTGTATTTTGTAGAAGATGACAACATGTGCCCAGTAAAATCTTTTGTGAGATATGTGAAGATGCTGCCCCCCGGATGTCCCTACCTTTTCCCCAAAGTAAGGAAGACCCCTAACAAGTGCGGACATTACTTTGACAATGCTCCCATTGGACACAACAAACTTGGCAGACTAATGACATCTTTGAGCACAAAATATGAATTGTCGCGCAAGTATACAAATCACAGTTTGCGGGCTACCTCTGTCCATCTTCTAGATTCTGCTCAAGTGCCGCCATATAATGACTGTGACTGGCCATAAGTCTGAGCAAAGCTTAAAAACCTACACAGGATTCACGGATGTAAGCACAAAAAGACACATGTCCCACACTATTAGTCGGGGAATCGGCTTGGATGTAGATGGACCTGTGAAAAGGATGAAAAGAGATGCGTCCAGTGTTGTTGAACCTAATAATCTGAATTTTGATACTCACGGGTTAGGTGATTTTGATTTAGGAAAACAATTACAGCCTCTGTCTAATTCACAAATGAATACCTTACTCAATGACTTTGACGATGATGAATTTAATGACATTGCCGCTAATTTGGTTTAGGATGGTGATCAACTTTATGTGAAACCAAATGTTGGTGTTGTGCCGAGCCAGAAGAATGTCAACAACAATGTATCCCATGTTCTGAATTACAGTGGTTTCCCCATTCCAAAATTTCAGGCACCAATAATTAGTGGTCAGAATGCACAGGTCACAATTAACTACAACATTTCCCCTGGTAAATAAAATATTTGTGGCGCTTACATTTGGATAACGAAATCCACCAATAAGAAATAAAAGCAGTCTTAACATAATGAATTTATTTCTTTATCACAATCTAAGATATACTTTGTTATCGATATCCCCTCTTATTGATGTAAAAGTGTATGTTTTGATATTCTATCATTCTCTCATTCAGCTGTCAGCTGAACAGTTGGTCAACAAATGTTTAAACTGTTTATTTTTGTTTGGTTATTTTTAACAAAAAGACATATTGCAACAGACAGCATGATTTTATAAATATGTTTGGAGTACTGAGAACCTTCCAAAAAAAAAAAAAGATAAGAATCATGATATTTTTCTTCTAATTCTATTGTTGAAGCATATAATAAAACAGTTATGGACTTTTGTGCTTGTGAATATGATGTGATATGAACCTGAAAAAGTGATATTGACCTTGGCTTCACCAGCACAAAAGTCCATAATTGTATAATATTGTATGACCTCCTTTGACAGACGACAAATATAAATATTGTATGACATCCCCTGACATACGACAAATATAAATATTGTATGACATCTTCTGACGGACGACAAATATAAATATTGTTTAACTTCCCCTTACGGACGACAAATATACATATTGAATGACATCCTCTGACAGACGACAAATATAAATATTGTATAACATCCTTTGACGGACGACAAATATACATATTGTATGACATCCTCTGACGGACGACAAATATAAATATTGTATAACATCCCCTGACAGACAATAATATAAATATTGTATGTCATCCTCTGACATACGACAAATATACATATTGTTTGACATCCTTTGACAAACGACACACACAAATATTGTATGACATCATCTGACAGACGACAAATATAAATATTGTATGTCATCCTCTGACAGACGACAAATATAAATATTGTATGTCATCCTCTGACGGACGACAAATATCAATATTGTATAACATCCTTGGACATACGACAAATATAAATATTGTATGACATCCTCTGACGGACGACAAATATAAATATTGTATAACATCCCCTGACAGACAATAATATAAATACTGTTTAACATCCTTTGACGGACGACAAATATACATATTGTATGACATCCTCTGACAGACGACAAATATAAATATTGTATGTCATCCTCTGACGGACGACAAATATCAATATTGAATAACATCCTTGGACATACGACAAATATAAATATTGTGTGACATCCTCTGACGGACGACAAATATAAATATTGTATGACATCCCCTGACAGACAACAACTATACATATTGTATGACATCCTCTGACAGACGACAAATATAAATATTGTATGACATCATCTAACAGACGACACATATAGATATTGTATGACATCCTCTGACAGACGACAAATATAAATATTTTATGAAAAGTACAAATGTTGTAGCATACCATGTGATAGTCCAAATTGAACTACTGTGTAATACCATGTGAAAAACAACATAAAAACAAAAGTGCATTGATACCCTCTCGCAGAATACACACAAATATTGTGGTTTAACTTTTGACAGACACGCACAAACATTGTCAGATACCCTTGAGGTCTGACGGACGACAGATACGCGTTCTGTAGCACACATTTTAATGAGATATGTTTTCGGATGCCGACACGGAGTAAACATACAACTTCGGTAATCAGGCGGTAAGAATCAGCCATGCGTTTTTATGAACCACTCCCGAATGTGCTCGGACTTACCAAAATGGAATTATCCATTATAAAAGAGAATCCATTTGTTGAAAAATCATTTCAAACTTATCAATACGTAACAGAAAACCAAATGCGCATTACAGTCGAGTCCATTCAACGTCAGCTATTGAATTAATGACGTACTTCAAAACATCAAATGTATAGGTTTACTCCTGCAGATCGATATTGAACACGAACTATGTGCACTTTTTGTACATTTGTAGAAAATATTATGATTAGGAAACAGGTTTCATATATCGTGTGTAATAACACCTAGTCTGTGTAATGATGTTTCAAATTCAAGGCACAAATGATACTAATTTACTTAATTCTAGCCTAGGTCATCGCAAGTTTATCACACCACGCCTTAGGTAAGCATACGCTGAAGAGAATCTCAAACTCGTTTACACTCAATCTGGCTTAAGGTTCAACAATTCCGCTGAAAAAAAGGCTATTGTCACCCATAACTTTAACCCGCTGATAGGTTATATTCAAATACCTCAATTAAAAATCGGTACTTATATAAGTATGTAGTTTGGATATATTTAACGTGTACATTAACTATTAAATGTTCCATAGCGAGGCTAACATAGTCAATAATAAGACATTACTGCCGATGTCTTCTTAAAAACAGCTCACCGGGTTTTAAAACATGTCAGTCTCTTTAGCGATTCAACTGTAAGTTTTGAAATGACATATTACCTGAAGCTCATTTATATACTTAGATCATCCGGAGCTTAATTTCTCTTTTACTAGCCAGAGAGAAGCATACTGACCCCAAATTAAGATTCTTTCATACGAAACTTTTAAATCATAGTGAAATTCATTGGTAATATATTTTAGCAGATTATAAATAAGAAAATAAAGGCTAAGTTACCTAAATCGACAAATAAGCTTTGTGGATGTTATGCATGCTCTTGAAACTGAAATAAAAAAAATAAATGTTTTAATGTTTATAACATGACTGGCTACTTTTATCACAACATTATATGTTGGTTAAGGACACTTTATGTAAAGTGTGTGTGTCATAACGGCCACAAGGCCTTTGGTTTTACATATATATACGGGTAAAAACACGTTACTCGGGCATTTTACTATGATGTTTGTGCATTCCCATAGCCACAACCATCTTGTTTCGAGACCGGCATGTCCCAAAGCTAGTAAACGAGAAATTAAGCTCCGCATGACCTAGGTATAAAAATGGACTTTAGATAATATTGCATTGCGTATAATTTGGTTGGGTCTGAAAAGAAATTGACATGTTATAAGTCCAATTAACTGTTTTAATGAAGACATCCGCATTAATGCCTTATTATTGACTACGGTAACCTCGCTATGGAACATTTTAATGGCTAATGCGCAAGTTCAATATATTTAAATTACATATATAATTTCCGATTTTTAATTGGTGTCTTTGAATATGACTAATAATTGGGTTGGGATTTAGAATGACCATAGCCTTTCTCAGTCGGCTAGTTGAACCTTAAATTAAACTCGCTGAGGATCTCTTTATAAAACAACCTCATATAAAATGGAAACTCGACTGAAATCCTTAAAGTATGGATCTTCAATGGATTATGATTGTATAAACAAAATAACGAGTTTGTTTTAATACTTCCCTTTGATTTGTTTCAATTTAAATGGCATTTAAATATTTTAGTTTGTATGTTTAATAGTAAATCTATATATAAACGAAAGGAGAACTGCATAAGATAACAGGTATGAGCTCAATGAAATGTAAATCAGCAGGCAATGTAATACTCGCATACAGTGAAACTAGATATCAATGTCGATGGATACAGTAAAACTCTTGTACAGTAAACCTTGGCAAATTTGAGATAGAAAAAGCCTGAATGTTTTCTATCTCTTCGCCATTCCGTATAGTGTTAATACTAAGAGCTATGGTGTTTTTCGATAACAAATGCTCATGTAGAAATGATAATCCCATTGTTAAAGAACTGAACATAATTCCATATAAATGTTACATAGATAAGTTCATGATGAATCCTTTTTTTGTACCAATTCAAGAAGAAAATTCTTGTAAGCTTTTTGAAAATATGTGCAGTATATTCCTAACTTAACATTTGGAGAATATTACATTTATTTTGATGATATGAAAGTCTTACCTTAGTGACTTATGTTTAGTTGTTCAATTAACTCCGGTTCCGAATCAACGTTCCTGTGTATACTGACGATCTCTCCGCCCGTATAGGTTGCATGACGCTGCGCGAGCTCGCTCTCATAGCCACTGTGGTAATGTACCAAGGCGAGAGTTGCGGAGACTGGCCGCGAATGCTGACGAGGGCTACAGTCAGTGAGCTCTGTGTTACTGTCCAAACTCTGCCGGTCCCGATGCTGTCTCCAACACGACCTGTCGAACTTGCTGTCAGCTGATCAGACGTGACAGACACGTTGCTACATGTATTGTTAAATAAGACCAAGTATTCTACAGATCGTGAAATGTCTCCCAAAGTTTCCTGCTAACGGTTCTATTGAAATGAGTATGGACTTACAGTGACAATTTTTATAATATTCAAAAAATAGCCTTTAACTGTGTGTCCTTTTATTTAAAATTAATAACTCGAAGAATAATACGAGGAAATAATGTATCAGCTTAGGTAGACATGTGTCGTTTGTAAATTCTTTTAATGATAAAGGTAATTAATTTGGTTACATTCAAATGATGAGTTGGTCAGTACAACTGTCCACATAAATCACTGTTTTTGTCAGGACGTTGTAATATAAAATATTTTTTGCATATCGAATTTCGACACAATTTATGACAAACAGAACACCATGAGTTCAGGGTCCGACCGGTCGATTTGCATGTCACGTGATGGTCACATTGTGACGTGCACGTGTAGAATTGACCATTTCCTTCTCAGCAGGTGTTTGTTATTGCCTGTTATGTCATCGACAGGCCAATCTCGGGGATCGTTGGCTTCTGTTTCAACATGGCTAATTGTCTGGACGGAAGCTTGTATATGATTCCGAGTCGATTGAAACGAAGGGCGTTGTCTTGGATACATGAGACATACACAATGTAAATATAATTACATTTTTAGCTAAATCGGAGTGATTCCTCTTTCTGTTCCCTTGATTTACAGTTAAATAAGTACACATCTTTTGTATTTATTTTGTTTATTACATGTATATGTATGTTGGACAGCCAACAAAATGCATCGTCATCATTTTTGTTTCTAAGGGGAGATTATCACAAAACAATGACAGACATTGCTTTATAAACTTTGATGTCGACTTCCTCTCATTAAACACTGTTATTTTACCCCTCACAGGGGTTGGGGCTTAACTTGAATCGACTGTCCCGCCTATCCGTGGGACCGTCGAATCACTCCTCCTAACCTTCTACTCATGATCGACACATCATGTAGTAGTGTAAAAGGAGAGAGAAAATGTACGTCCAGATCAGGATTCGAACCCGGAACCCTCCGAACTTTAGACGGACATTCTAACAAGTGAGACTACCAGGCCGATTTGTTTTTCTCAGAGTTATTGTCCCTTTTTATACTTATTTATAGTCATTTCAAGCCCAGTCCGAACAACATCTCCTCAACAACCAGACATAATACAAAAACATATTGTGAAATTGATATAATGAGGAAAATTTGAACAGCATATTTTTCAAGTTTCATTTTAAAAAATGCCGTTCAATCCATATATTTACATTTTAAATGTTATTGTTATCATTTAACCTAATATAGAGGGTACATATACACTGCGTCAAATGATCAACGATTCCTTTTCGAGATTCATGACGGTCACCTTAGCCCCTGATTGGCTGATTCAAGTCAGATTCTATTTGGCCGATTTGTTGATACTTTGATAGAGTGATACAGTGGTGTACATTACATTACAAAATTGCTGATATTTAAATTTCGTGGTAAAAATGATTAAAAGGAGAGAGACACGTGTACCGTGAAGGACAACGATGTTAGATTATTAGAATTGATCTTTCCTCTGTAGTTCATGTAAAGACATATATCACAGCCCCTGAGAATACAATTTGTTAATTGATTGCATTACGAGCCTCTGCTAAACAAGCTTTCCCTCGATTGTTTTTATTAATCCAACAAAGGCGCACCAGATGACTTTAGTTCGAGAACTACATTTTTCTAAATCTCGAATAGAAAGTGCATAAAATCAAAGTAGTTTATGATTGAGCTTTATTGATTTTAATCTTGATATTTGTTAGTTTCGATGCATCAGATGAGTCGCCATCAGCGATGCAATACATCTAGTATGTCAAAACTAGTCAACATTTGTATTTAAAAAGCTTTTAATCCCAGTTTGACGTTGTCACAGTCATCTCTTTAAACTGAAAACATATAAATAAGATGTTTCATCATTTTCAAATGAGAAATGTTGTGAATACCGCTAAAATATTGTCCATCTTTTCTGTGTATCTCTAAATGTACTGCTGACTATTCCGTCTTTGCGTATTGCAGAGTTAACTTCTCTTGTGAGCAGGTATTGATTGTTACGTCATTGGTTTGTGTGAGAAAATTACGCCGTTTTCTCAAAAATTGATGACGTTAATCTCACAACCAAATGATGTACCAATCAATACCTGCTCACAAGAGAAGATAACTCTGCAATACGAAAAGACGGAATAGACTTGTAAATAACCTATATGTGCCCTTTAGATGAATCTGATATGACTGCTATTGACAATGACTAACTTCCAACGTACTGTCGAGAAGGCGACATATCGTCCCCATGTTTCTTTGATTCTATTCTAATGTGAAGTGCATTTAGACACTAAATATTGAAGCGTGATAAGCTTTACAGCAAATTATTGCAAATGTCGCTTAGAGTATACTTTTCTTTATAGAAATATTGAAAGATATCTTATTTTCAAGACATTCTAAAAATCGATTTGAAATTTCCCTGAGATGTGTCTCTTGTTTGGTTAATAGGACATTTAAATAAGACTGTGCTAGCAGCGTCACTGTGATCATCTATATTGCTGTCGTAGCGGGGTATAGCCAGAACACAGATAAAAAGATTAGATTGTATTTATTGTATTGACGAGATAGTGCTATTCTATTTAGCAACAGTGTATGCACAAAGGTTTAAACATTTCAAGTGGTGCATATGACTGTCAATGACCCAAAGAACAGGCTTCTCTCTTAGGGAGAACTGCTATATACCGTAACTGAAATGCTTTGTTTTTCCGCTAATGCATTCTTTGTTATCTTGAAAGCTAACATAATTCTGACGCCATACTTTGTCAGTGTAGCCCTAAATATTGCATATATACACTGCACTTGTGGGTTTAGAACTAGGACCTAATTGCTTTTAAAGTGGTATACAGTCACCGATACTTATATTGTGTCTACATCTAGTATGCTTGTTTTACTCCGTATGTTCAGTCACTTGTGAAGGAGCGGCTGCAGTAATTTTCCATGTCGAACACTTGGACATGCATTGAGGCATGGAACCCATGGTTTTGCTGTATATACTAAGGACCTAGTACAGTTACGGTTTTGTGCTGTTAAGGGGACCTATAGCTTTGTGTTCTATCTTAGGGTCCTACGTTATCGCAATCTACGCAAGATACCGCCGGTTTTGTATTCCGGCGTAGGGACCTATGGTTTTGCATTTTATCGTAAGGACTTAATATTTTGCGTTCTATCCTATGTGACATATGGTTTTGCCTCCTAATCTAGAGACCTGCGGTTTTGTGTTGTGTCCTAGAGGCCTACGATTTTCTGTTCTTTCCTAGGGACCTCCGGTATTGCATTATCTCCATAAAATCTTATATTACGTGCTATCTAAGCGACCTACGGTTTTGTGTCCTATCGTAGGGACTGGTGTTGCGGCATGTCAAAGAGACATACGTTTTTTTCTCTCTTTTGGGACTAACGGTTTTGCTTGCTATCCTAGGAATCTAAGGTTTTGTGTCACCTTACCCTAAGCAGTGTTAATGCACAGGGGATGTAGATTCGAAACCTATGCAAACAAAGATGAAATAAACGATAGCTGTTCTGCATTGCTATTATTAATAGGTAATGTATATTTTGTTGTTTGGACACACATTATTTAAATTGTCGAACTAATAGTAGATAAAAATGCAATAACCAGTCATTGTTAAAATATCTTTATTAGTTTTAAAATATCTTATTAGATATAGATAAAATATATCAAAATACACGAATATTGTATTAAAAAATCAGTTGATGAAACATCAATCTGAATAATTGTAGAAAATAATCCTCTCAAAGATGAAATAAACGATAGCTGTTCTGCATTGCTATTACTGATAGATAATGTATATTTTGTTGTTTGGACATACATTATTTAAATTGTCGAACTAATAGTAGATAAAAATGCAATAACCAGTCATTGTTAAAATATCTTTATTAGTTTTAAAATATCTTATTAGATATAGATAAAATATATCAAAATACACGAATATTGTATTAAAAAACAGTCTGAATAATTGTAGAAAATATTCCGCTCCCCCCCCCCCCCCCCCCCCCCCCTCTCTCGCTATACTGCTGTACAATGTACTTCCTCTTTTCAGCAGCCAATCTCTTCTTTTAACATTATTACTTCGATTATTCATTTAAACATATTAAATGTTGCTAAATTGAGCAGAAGATAAGGCACAACAATAATCCTGCTTATCATATTAATATTGTTATACATGATGACCTTCAAACAATGATGACATATAAATATTTTACAGTAATGATATTTCCATCACATTTAGTTGCTGGATTGATTTACAGTTGCACATGCCTAATGTGCCTTTATGGGTATTCACAGATAGAATTACTCAACCAATCATTCAAAGTTACTGAAGATCGTACGTCTACATGTAATTCTAGAGTACTTCGCTCTATAGTATAACAGTCGGATTTCAACAAAGCGAACATTCTCAAAGAACAACTCGTAACTTAAAGGCCTCCATTGACCTTTGAAAATATGTATAATACTTATACTTTCTGCGTTCGCTAAAAGCATAACATGATGGTGGAAACAAATTGACTGCACTTGGTAAAGAACTTCTAAACGTGCTTAATGCAGATGAAGTTCCCTTTGAATAAATATTTCCGCAAGACGTAAAATTGATGGCAGAATGAAATAGTTGGTCGAGGAAATTTTAAAGGGAAGGAAAAGTCATCATGTTACCTTAAGTTGTTATGGCTAATGCAGCATCGCGAATGGGACGATGAATAGAAAGATACTTTTCATATTTCCTTTCATATGAAAAGTAAGTTTTTACTTTTTTTCTCTTCTGGACTGCTGCTAGAATACATGAAAGAACGAGAGTCGAATCAAGTAAACGCAAAACTTAAATAATCATTTATTTAATTTAGAAAGCTGATAAAAGATATTTATGCAGATGGTTATTTTAAAATCATGTAACGTGATATCAACGTGATATTTTGATTATTTCAGAAGTTTAGAAATATATAAAACGAACAAAAATTAAATGTATCGAAAAAGTACTGGATGAGTCATTTCGCTGTCTTAGACACAGAGTATTATCAATAAAATCAAGAAGTTTTTCATTCCTACGGTTAAGTTGGATACAATGCTAGTTTTCGCTTCACACCTTCAAATTGTATAGCTTTATTTTCTCGTTTCAAAAATGCTTATTGAAAAATGAATTGAGCATTGTGTAAAAGTAAAAAAGTAATAAAAATATAATTCTCCTCATACATAATTGTCAATACCATACCATGAATGATAATATCATTCCTATTTAAGACAAAACTACATACATGGCCATAGACAATGAGATAAGGAATGGTAACAAGGGCAGTTTCAGATCACTTCCGGTATTTGTGCATTCATTGATGACGACCCGGTCACAGTTGCCCTTGTAGAAGCCGACACAGGCGGCATACTGCATGAAGTGTGCGATATAGTGCTCCTCCTTGACGCCGTTCAGCAGGTGTGACATTGGCCCACGTGAGTAGATTGGCACGTCGTCCCCGCCGTGGGTTTCGTACTCAAACGGAACAGCCGCCTCCGCCAGGAACTGCATGTCTCCTGTAACAAAGGACAGCGTATGTTTGTGAATGAAGGTTGAAGCTAAGACGTTACTTACTTAGCGTGTGTCAAAATGTGACGGCGAGGAGGATATTGCCGTGGTCGTTGCCGTCATCATTATATCGAACCATTAAACACAAACCGATTCAGTCACCACACTGAAGCAACTACTTCTTACAAGGACTTCAAATATTAATTTGCAGAATCATTAATGATAACAAAAAATAAAATAAAAAATAAAATGCACTCAACTCAGGAAAGACGTGAGTGCTTTCTCCATAAAACCAATTTCAAATGTAGAGCTTTCAGTTAAACTCTACAATAGTAGATGTAATAATGCGTCCGGTCCTTGAATCAGTCTCATTAAGTGTCGCTAAGCTGTTTCTGTCATGATTGGCTGCAGACTGAATTGGAGGCTTATAAATATACTTCCATAATGACGAGTACGAATACCAAATGACAATAAATCATCAAACTAAACGGACAATCACTACAGAATATAGTCCGTAATTGTCCCCCGTCACATTCGACGTCACCTTGCTGACCAATAAGGTATAGTCTAATAGTTCAAGTCTAGACGGACCCGAAGAGTTGCTGCGCATATACTGTTGACTATAACCGACACGTCGATGCTTTCTCGTCCTGAGGTAATTTGCTCGTAAATCAATGTAGTCTTTGTCACGAGTTAACTAGAAGGTGTTGTTAATTAAATGAATTGAGGGAAGTCGAACGCGAACTGAAAAGCCAGTGTATCTTGACCCAAAAATAGAAATAGGTGTTGCTATTTTTTCTTGAGCGACCTTGGGTCGTCGCGATTAGATCATTTTTAATTCAAACGCTGAAGAAAGTATTTAAGAAAACAAATTGATTTCTGTTATTTCATTTTAAAAATTCTGGGCCCGTTTTCATGAACCGTTCTCATGCCCAAAGTCAGATTTTGTACTCAAGCCCAATTTCTTATTCCAGTGATAAATTTATGAAAAGTTACATTTTGTCAATGATCAGGAGAACCTTGGGTCAGAATACCTTTTTCAATGTTTAAACTTGACTTTTGTTTTTACCTTGTAACATGATTTTAAGCCAGCGGCAAGAAGGTAGGTTGGACTTTGTTTTCAAGCCTAATTTCTTGTTTCTTTTACAAATTAATAATAAAATCTAATTTTGTCAATGATATAGAACGAAATTGAAAAGACTTAAAGTCAAATACTGTTTTCCATGTTTACATTTGACTTTTTGATCGTTTGACATGATTTATGCGAGTAAAAAGAAAGTTGGATAGGGCACAGAATTCATTCTTGAGCGTGAGATCAGTTGCATGAATACGGGCCCAGATCTTTAGTTTTAGCTGGTCAACAAGTTACATTGTATGTCAAAACGTCAGAAGAAGAATAAACCGGATACGAAATATCGCTGTTAAACTTGTCTGTGACCTGCTATGCTAGAACCGAATATATGCAATTTTACAACTTCACTGACTCTGGCCTGTTGTTGAGCTTTCACTGCTAAGTAATTAAAACGATCGACAGTATAAATAGCACAACCTCACTGTGGCCGGTATATCAGCTATAAGATCCATCATATCATAACTAAACTTTACTGTGGCTGGTATATCAGCTATAAGATCCATCATATCATAACTAAACTTTACTGTGACCGGTATATCAGCTATAACATCCATCACATCATAACTAAACTTTACTATGGCCGGTATATCAGCTATAAGATCCATCATATCAGCTATAAGATCCACCATATCATAACTTAACTTTACTGTGGCTGGTATATCAGTATTAAGATCCATCATATCAAAACTAAACTTTACTGTGACCGGTATATCAGCTATAAGATCCACGATATTATAACTAAACTTTACTGTGGCTGGTATATCAGCTATAAGATCCATCATATCATGACTAAAATTTACTGTGGCCGGTATATCAGCTATAAGATCCATCATATCAGCTATAAGATCCACCATATCATAACTAAACTATACTGTGGCCGGTATAGCTATAAGATCCACGATATTATAACTAAACTTTACTGTGGCTGGTATATCAGCTATAAGACCAATCGTATCATAACTAAACTTTACTGTTGCCGGTATATCAGCTATAAGATCCACCATATCATGACTAAACTATACTGTGGCCGGTATATCAGATATAAGATCCATCATATCATAACTAAACTTTAATGTGGCCGGTATATCAGCTATAAGATCCATCATATCATGACTAAAATTTACTGTGGCCGGTATATCAGCTATAAGATCCAACATATCATAACTAAACTTTACTGTGACCGGTATATCAGCTATAACATCCATCACATCATAACTAAACTTTACTATGGCCGGTATATCAGCTATAAGATCCATCATATCATGACTAAAATTTACTGTGGCCGGTATATCAGCTATAAGATCCACCATATCATGACTAAACTATACTGTGGCCGGTATATCAGATATAAGATCCATCATATCATAACTAAACTATACTGTGACCGGTATATCAGCTATAACATCCATCACATCATAACTAAACTTTACTATGGCCGGTATATCAGCTATAAGATCCATCATATCAGCTATAAGATCCACCATATCATAACTAAACTTTACTATGGCCGGTATATCAGCTATAAGATCCGTCATCTCATAACTTAACTTTACTGTGGCCGGTATATCAGCTGTAAGATCCATCATATCATAACTAAACTTTACTATGGCCGGTATATCAGCTAAAAGATCCACCATATCATAACTTAACTTTACTGTTGCCGGTATATCAGTATTAAGATCCATCATATCATAACTAAGCTTTACTGTGGCCGGTATTTCAGCTATAAGATCCACCATATCATAACTTAACTTTACTGTGGCTGGTATATCAGTATTAAGATCCATCATATCAAAACTAAACTTTACTGTGACCGGTATATCAGCTATAACATACATCACATCATAACTAAACTTTACTATGGCCGGTATATCAGCTAAAAGATCCACCATATCATAACTTAACTTTACTGTGGCCGGTATATCAGTATTAAGATCCATCATATCATAACTAAGCTTTACTGTGGCTGGTATATCAGCTATAAGACCAATCGTATCATAACTAAACTTTACTGTTGCCGGTATATCAGCTACAAGATCCACCATATCATAACTAAACTTTACTATGGCCGGTATATCAGCTATAAGATCCATCATATCAGAACTAAACTTTATTGTGGCCGGTATATCAGTTATAAGATCCACCATATCATAACTTAACTTTACTGTGGCCGGTATATCAGCTATAAGATCCGTCATATCATAACTAAACTTTACTGTGGCCGGTATTTCAGCTATAAGATCCACCATATCATAACTTAACTTTACTGTGGCTGGTATATCAGTATTAAGATCCATCATATCAAAACTAAACTTTACTGTGACCGGTATATCAGCGATAAGAACCACGATATTATAACTAAACTTTACTGTGGCTGGTATATCAGCTATAAGACCAATCATATCAGTATTAAGATCCATCATATCATAACTAAGCTTTACTGTGGCTGGTATATCAGCTATAAGACCAATCATGTCATAACTAAACTTTACTGTTGCCGGTATATCAGCTATAAGATCCACCATATCATGACTAAACTATACTGTGGCCGGTATATCAGATATAAGATCCATCATATCATAACTAAACTTTACTATGGCCGGTATATCAGCTAAAAGATCCACCATATCATAACTAAACTTTACTATGGCCGGTATATCAGCTAAAAGATCCACCATATCATAACTAAACTTTACTATGGCCGGTATATCAGCTAAAAGATCCACCATATCATAACTTAACTTTACTGTTGCCGGTATATCAGTATTAAGATCCATCATATCATAACTAAGCTTTACTGTGGCTGGTATATCAGCTATAAGACCAATCATGTCATAACTAAACTTTACTGTTGCCGGTATATCAGCTATAAGATCCAACATATCATAACTAAACTTTACTGTGACCGGTATATCAGCGATAAGAACCACGATATTATAACTAAACTTTACTGTGGCTGGGATATCAGCTATAAGACCAATCATATCATAACTAAACTTTACTGTTGCCGGTATATCAGCTATAAGATCCACCATATCATAACTTAACTTTACTGTGGCTGGTATATCAGTATTAAGATCCATCATATCAAAACTAAACTTTACTGTGACCGGTATATCAGCGATAAGAACCACGATATTATAACTAAACTTTACTGTGGCTGGTATATCAGCTATAAGACCAATCATATCAGTATTAAGATCCATCATATCATAACTAAGCTTTACTGTGGCTGGTATATCAGCTATAAGACCAATCATGTCATAACTAAACTTTACTGTTGCCGGTATATCCGCTATAAGATCCACCATATCATAACTAAACTTTACTGTGGCCGTTATATCAGCTATAATATCCATCATATCATAACTAAACTTTACTGTGACCGGTATATCAGCTATAAGATCCACGATATTATAACTAAACTTTACTGTGGCTGGTATATCAGCTATAAGACCAATCATATCATAACTAAACTTTACTGTTGCCGGTATATCAGCTATAAGATCCACCATATCATAACTAAACTATACTGTGGCCGGTATAGCTATAAGATCCACGATATTATAACTAAACTTTACTGTGGCTGGTATATCAGCTATAAGACCAATCATGTCATAACTAAACTTTACTGTTGCCGGTATATCAGCTATAAGATCCACCATATCATAGCTTAACTTTACTGTGGCCGGTATATCAGTATTAAGATCCATCATATCATAACTAAACTATACTGTGGCCGGTATATCAGTTATAAGATCCATCATATCATAACTAAATTTTACTGTGGCCGGTATATCAGCTATAAGATCCACCATATCATAACTAAACTTTACTGTGGCCGGTATATCAGCTATAAGATCCAACATATCATAA